TAACTGACACATCGAAAGTAAGTAATAAGCTAAAATGTTCGCTCATTGTTTTCTTAGTTTACTATATTGTCCGTAGCTTTCCCTCCTCTCACCCTTTCAACTTAATGGATTCCCTAAAATATATTAAAGGCTAGTGCGTGGAATTCCTAGGCGAAATCTCGGTCAACACAAGTAACGAAATTAAGGAATAATAATAGTTCCTTCCAATGGTATTGATCGAATTTAAGAATGACGCACAACTGAGTAATGCTAACCGATATTGTGTGAATTGGAACAGCTACGCGGCACCTTCTTTCAAATGCACTTAGAGGTGGCACATCGTTTACTACGCTTTACTATGCTGAGACTACAAGCTGCTGAATATTGAGAAGGAGAGATTAGCCTTCCCAACGATTTTGAAAAACCAAATTACATTGATGCGACAAGACTGGGTGGTAGATAACTACTTGTCATTAATGGAAAACCATTTGATGCAATCTGGAGGGTGAATCATGGAACTTAACTTTGGTGACTTAAACTACCAATTTAATAAATACGGTATAATTCAGTTAGAAAATTCGAACAATTACGACCCATTGTAGTGTTAACAATTATCTTGTTAAATTTTGACGACTGTTGATATTATTATTAAAAATATGGTAAGGGTGTTGAACACAGCTCAAGATGTCACAACTTTAATTTTTTTCCGATTGGCAGAAAATTTTATTCATAGCAAACAGATAGTTCGATTTTTGAGTCCCATGAAAGTACCCTGACGTGCAAGCAGTTAATTAGCCCAATTAGACGAAGAAGAAGTGGAAAGTCTATCCGTGCAATTAAAAATAGGGTCTTTTTTCGAACATTTTCAAGTCTTTTGACCGATCATTATTTTGATTAGCTGAGTATTTCTGTATTTGTCCACGGTTTTAGTTTAATGATTTCATGTTCGTAAAATTTTGAATTTTTTTGGCAAACTTGAAAAAAACATTGCTTGTAAACCACTTCATTGCAATCAAATATACTTTGATTCGGGCGTCGTGAAGTCCATGATTTGTTTAAATTTTGAATATCACTTGAATTAGGGCCAATTGAGTGTAAATTAACTTTACTCCTGTCCTTGATTGAGGACGAATTAAGCCAATCGCAAAGTCCTACCCAAGTGCTTGTGAAATAATTGTCCCTTCAAACAAATTCATAGAGATTTCCTCTTAACCAATCATTGCAGAGCATAAGAAGATGGCGTAGTGTGCTTTATGCATAATATCGTTAAAGCAAAATAGAGTTCTTTTAAGCCCATTTAAGAAACCACTATCTTATAGATTATTGCACCGTGATGGTGTTAAAGTAAACAATTGAATTACCTCACCTCAATTATTATTATCATAAACTAATAAATAGTGTGACCTATCTTAGTCTACTCGTTGACAAAGAGTACTGTGTCATGTCTCGAATCAACTTTGTCATAAGCATTTTGAAATTGAAGTAGTACTCTTACTGAAACACAGTCGGAACTTGAATTCTAACTTTCGACAAATTCAAAACTATCATCAGTTTCAAGCTCCGTTCAGTCAAATGTAATTCATTCATAGTAATTTCTACTTTATTATAATTCACTTTAAATAATATAGGTTACGATCTTTTTACATATAGCCGAATTCAAGAATGACTTTAACAATACTTACTAATTATATTTATTAATTTTGCTCAATGGTTACAATTTCTGATGTTTTTATCTGATTTATGTCCCCTCCCCTCAACTTTTGTGAACCAATAATTTACACAAAACCATATATTTTAATCGAAAACAACCGCCTTTTTTCAAGGTTCTTTGATATGTCCACCTGCAATATCTGGTTCCGGAATTCAGCAAGATAAAAATACTTCCGAATGGGGGTTCATTTGGTCAGTTTATGGGGACAAACTATTGACCTAAGCAATTTATATTGGTGTTTACTTGGGCTTATATAGGTGGAAGTGAGGGGAGGGGGGGGGGGGGGAGGGAGACATATTTTCGAAATTCGGACNGGGGGGGGGGGGGGGGGGGGTGGAGGGAGACATATTTTCGAAATTCGGACATGTAAGCGCAATAAACCGTGTGCCAGTAACAGTTCCCGATATTTGGGGAAAAAAAATATTGCAAGATATTGCAAGCGAGACATTCTAGTTTGACAAATTTTTTGTGGGCCAGTGGGGAGGGGAGGGGGGGGTAGGGGCTGGGAAATGGCCACGGAGGTAGGTGGTGCCAAAATTTTCCTATCGCTGCCTTTTTTATCATTGAGATTTTAAAATTTTTTGAAGAAGATATATCAAGATGATCCGGTAATCCACAGAATCACAGCAACAGATTATCAAGATCAGAATACTATAAACATGACCAAAATGTGTAAAAGAAATTACAATGCTAGATGGATTTGAAAACTGTGCCGTTTTGACCTTAATACTAATAAACTAAAATATTGTAACTTTGTATCCGAGAAGTGCTCAGAGTATGTACTACGATATAATGAGATAAATCGAAAAGCGTCTTCAAACCAATGAGAAGGCCATTTAGAGAAGACAAATATGAATAAAGGCTCAAAGTCAATAAGAAAGCAGGCACACCATTTCTGGCAACTTTGGAATGTTACTTATAGTACTTATAGAGCACAGAAAATTCACGAGACTATGTTATAATGTTGTTGTAACTAATAGGTCATTAGTTTGCAACAAACCAAGTTCTGTTAAAAAATTCTTTGGTTAAAATCATTGAAAGATAAGCATTTTATTTATATCAAATGGCAGGCGTCTTGATAGTTATCATTAGCCCTTTAGTTGACCTCAGGCTTCACAGAGGGGGGGGGGGGGGGGGGGGGGAGGAACATCAAGGTGGCAAAAGGTCGAGAGGGGGGAATAGAAGAGTATTTCAAAGATGTAAATGAGACAGACACAAAGGTAGAGTGAAAAGGTGAGGTGAGCGCTGTGAAAGTATTCGAATATGGAATGCAGTGGGGTCTAGGTAGTTTGAAGTCAGAAGTCAACTGCCGGTTAATAGACCTTTTTACCGTATGAGTATACGTAGCCCAGGGTGCACCAAGTGGAGGTAAGGCTATCGCACATCCCTAAAAGATAAGCATAAATGTCTATCACTTTTAAAACATCTCACCATAATTCTCAAAGGAATTGATATCAATCCGGGGCACCTTGACAATATGGATGCCAAATTTGAAAATATATTTATTCTGTTTTGACTTAAAAGTACAATTTGGTTGTAGATTATTTTGCGTAGTTGCTGGGACCTTTGATACAATAAGTGCTTGCCTTTTTTAGAATCGTCATACGGGGTGGTATTTTATACGCTTTGTGATTTTCATGACAAGTGATGGGTCTATTGAGATCAGGTTCACTTTTGCATACAATTAATTGCTTGCTTTAAAAAGTACATTCAGACCTTCACGAGTATAAGTACTAACGCGGATCGCACATTTTTCAAACCACCAAGCACGTTACTACTGAGAAATTGGAAGTAAGCCAAACTAATGACCTCTTATAGTGGCATTTGCTAATAGATTGATTAACGTAGACAAATGACAACCGCTCTATAACAGAGGTCTCGTGTCACAGAAGTTGGTAATATTGGCTTCATTTCAACTTTGGATCTTCATGCTTTTGGGCCATCTTTCCATAACCCTCTCAATCACTACTATCTTTTGCATAAAATTTTCTTTAAAATGATTTGCTATTCACATCACGATTTTCTTCAAGTAATTTGTTGTATCAGTTGCCTGTGGTTGGGTTTCGATCTATACGTAATAAAAATAAGCTCTGATCAATTTGAAGTTTTCGCTTGCAATTAGCTATTGGAAAAATATATCAGAGTTGTCTAGAATCGCCTTCTTATTTATTACTTATTTACCTAGTAAGATTATTTCTTAAATTAAAAGGATATTTGAAATAAAGTCCTGACTAAGATTTGTCGATAACTTCGAGAATTATAATATTTTTAAAGTATCAGTTCTGTAAAGTAGCTCCATTATATATTTATTTTATTTCTATATATATATATATATATTTATATTTATATATTTTATTTACTTGGGGAATTTTCAGACGCGTCTTAGATAGAGTATTTATCAGAATTTTGAGGTATCATTCATATTTGAGGTTAATTATCTTGCCTATTCTTCCATTGCTCTTTCATTACTGAATTCTCAAGTTAAATAAATGAAATAAATTTTATTTTTTAACAAAAATTGTTTCTATTTCACTAGGATAACGATATTTTCTGAAGATATCGATTTTACTATCAAATGAACTTTGTCACTAACAGTAACTATTTTGTAAAAGTTAGTGCTTTAGCGTATATTTGAGTCTTTTTGGGTAAATTGTAGGTTCACATAAATAAAATATAGAGGAACTGACATTTTGAAAACTGAAGGCAATTTTATAGAAAAGTAAGACAACATTTTGATTATACGATGCAAAACTGAAAATTTAAAAATAGTTTAGAATTTTAGTAAAAGTTTCCTTCTTGTTTAAGTGGATTACAAATTGGCTCGCATATATATTAACTTCCGGCACGTTAAATTTCATTACCTCAAGTGTATGTTAGTTTATTCTTGTGTGAAGCAAAGGACATCGTGTGGAGCTCATCATTTCACCTCTAGTGGCGTGGAAAGCCAATAGCACTGATCATTTTTTTCAAATGGCAGGCTTTATGCTATTTATCATTAGCCCCTGAACTTTGACTTCAGCTTCCCCCAGGGGTGGGGGGTACATATATAGCAGTTCATTAGCTGTATTCTTGCTACCCAGTATCTCTGGCTTTCCAACGTTGTCTTTAGGGCTGGACACCGAATCAGGTGGGTCTTCTCCATTTCCTCCTGTAGGTTACATAGGGGGGATGTGGGGGAGGGGGTTGCGCGATAGACTTACCTCCACGTGGTGCACCCTGGACAACGTATCTTCATACGGCTAAAAACGTCTAACACTCGGCATTTGGACTTCTATTTTGACTTCCATAGCACCGATCATAAGGAGAGATAACAGAACAGCCCCAGAAAAAGATTGGTACGCCAAAGTTGTGAAACCAAGCACTTATTGAGCTAATACACCACATAATGAGCTCGATTGAAATCTAGCGAGTCCTACCTCACTTTCTTCACGGTTGGAAGAAAGTGCTAGCTCCCAAGTGGTCAAGTTATTGCTTCCACAGTTTAGTTATTATTTTTCACATTTTGTCATTGTAGCGGGATTGCCCTTCAGGTCAATTGAGTAAGAAGAAGTTTATTGAGGTCTACTCAAGTTTCTTTCCTACCGGTGACGCCGACCAATTCTGCACGCATGTTTTCCGCACCTTCGACAAGGATAACTCGGGTAAAATTGACTTCAATGAATTCCTGCTTGCAATAAACATCACCTCGGGGGGACAGCCAAAGGAGAAGTTGGAATGGGCCTTCCAAATGTATGATATTGACGGAAATGGCACAATTGAGAAAAAGGAGATGACTGAAATTATCAAAGTATGCTAAATTTTTCTATCAAAGCAAAATTTAGCTTTTTTGATATTTTTGGCCTGGAAATGCTTACTTTCGTTTGCATTAACCATCAACTCCCTATATACCATTTAGTCGTAAAATTAGAGCTACAAATTCACTGATTCCAACTTAAAAATAATGTCATGTCGCCTTCTTTATATCGTGTGTCCCTTTAAATAAATAATTTGGTGTTGAAACCTTCCAAGTGGAGTGTTTATGTACCTTTGTCATCCCCTAGTTCTTTTTCACGACTAATTGTCTTCTGGCTGTATTACTAAATTTTTCAATTTCAGCAATTTCCCGTACTTGCGTTTATTTGCCTTCCATTTCAGTCTTAGTCAGTCCTTTTGTGTACAAAATTTTATTTTCTTCTTGTTAAGAGTTCAGAGCAGGTCAAAGTAAGGCGAAATTCCGAATACCAGACGTAATCTTTCAAGCAGTGTGGGAAGGCAATAAAGTTTATTGCTGAATTGATGTTAACTCTGAACTAATGTCAACCAGCGGATCGTATGCACTTATTCAACTTGTCAAAGTGAGCGACTACGTTTATTCGCACCCAAAAAGTGTATCTATGATTGTCTAATGAAAAGAAATAGCTGTGATCATGGCATAAATGATTTATTTATTTATTTCAAATGGCAGGCATTGTGGTAGTTAAAATTAGCCATTTAGTTGACTTCGGGATTCACAGAAAGGAAGAGGAACATCAGAGTGGCAAAAAGTCGAGAAGGGGACAGAATAAAGATTCACAGACGTAAAAGAGACAGACAGACACAAAAGTAGAAAAAAGGTGAGGTGAGCGCTGTGAAAGTATTCGAATATGAAATGCAGTGGGGTCTAGGTAGTTTGAAGTCAGAAGTCAACTGCCGATTAATAAACTTTTTCGTCGTATGAGTATACGTAGCCCGGGTGCATCACGTGGAGGTAGGTCTATCACACACCCCTGACATCAATGGAACATGCTATGAAAGGAAAGTTATTTGAGTGAAGTAAAATCAGCTTGGCGTTTAGAAAAATTCAAATCAATCAAATGTAGTTGATTTAAACTTGTCGCCTCAATATAGTTTCAGTTTTAGTATAATCATCCACTTCAATGCACGTTTGCTTCATGGAATGGTGATAGAGCACCCCAAAATCAAAAATTTGTTAATAGAAGTTGAAATAAGGCAAAATTACTCTGATCAAAGTCGGCGTTGGGAACCTAATTACTATTAATTAAAGGTGCTGTAAGGTGATCTTTATTCCACGAAAATAATATGATGGAACGTTTAAGGACTCTATTGCCCACGCTAGAGATATTTCCAGTTTATTGTTGGGATGAAATAAATGAGTGATTGGTCATGTCACTTCAAACCATCTCTTTTTTCCATACATCAAAGGGCATGATATAAGTGGTTAGCAGATATGTAGAAGCACTGCTCACCAAACGTTTTTACAAATAAATTTTTCGAACTACATTTTTAGTCAAGACAATTTTGCTTCATTTAAATGCCGTCTATCAATTGTCAAAGCACTTGAGCCAAAAGCTCGGTTCCTGCATACTCTTCTTCATTCTTTCGTTCTCCCTAAACTTACCTTTTGGTAGATTTTTTAATTGATTTTGGGCAATATCGATTTTTTTCCTCTAATTGCGTTTTCGATATTCTTACCTGGATAAAAGCTTGTCTGCTAATAATCTAAATAATCAGAGTTCTTAAATTCTTCGGTACTCCAATGAATAAATGAATGCATGCATATATATATATATATATATATATATATATATATAGTCAGAATTGGGACCAATGCGAATCATTAATGAGGTGCTGTTTATTTTAAGGCCATTTACAGCATGCTGGGAGCAAATGAAGCAACCGTGGACTTAACTCCCGAGGCACGGACAGAGGAGATATTCGATAAAATGGATTCCAACCATGACGGAGTTTTAACAAGGAAGGAATTCATGGACGGCTGTATGGCTGATCAACAGCTCTACTCAATGCTACTAGCAGATGAGTCCAATGCAAACAGTTAATTGTCTACCTAGGTTAAACACTTCACATTTCACCAACACACTACAAATAAACCCACCACTACTACTACTACCACTACTACCACCTATCCTGCCCACAACCCGTCTTATGTTTTGATACGCACTAATATGATATTTTATGTATACATGTCGAAATTACAAAACACAAGCAAGCAACCATTATCACAAAACCACTCGTATCTATGCAGGCTATAGTTATTATAAGGGGCAAAGTCTGGAGTTTGTAAAAATTATTATCCGGCCACCTATCTCTCAACCAATTCCTTGAACGTGTTATATCGCCCAGCAATATTCTTGTCTCTTTCCCTTGTTTTTTTCCGCTTTCTACTATCTTATTCGTGATTATCTCATATTCCAACCAAACTGAATTCCCTATTCGGTGTTGTTTTCAGCTCCTTTTCTCACTTTGATCTCATTCTCTCTCTCCCTGTCCGCTCTCTTTCACACACACACAAACCTCTCCTGCATGTGTACGAGATTTTGACAGAGGCGAACTCTGTTAAAATGTGTACGCGAGTGCGTTGGATAATAAGAACGCTAGAAGAACACGGAATAAATTCCCGTATGCTTGAAAATTCCATGGGATTTTCTTTTTCGTAGGAGAGGGGGTGGGAGGGGAGCTCATTTCATTAAGAATATATTTTGGATGGGATTTATCAGTATTGATTCCAGCGCGTGGATTTTGGGGACTTCCGTACACACGGCAGAAATAGCGCGATGATTAAAAAAATGCCCAACCGAATCAAAGATTGGGAGAAGTGGTATTTCGAGAATTAAAAACAAATAGGATTTCGTGTATTGCTCTCGAATTCCATCACCAAGTTCTCTACTTGATATTACCGAATGACAAAATTAATACGCTTTGTCCAATTTGGAGTTCAATTTGTTTATAATATTACAACACATTCAATTAGAGTATAGTAAATTGAATAGTAAAGGATAGGTCTATGTCTTCCATTAATAGCATAAATGATTCATTAGGAATGAAATTTTAATTACCGCCCCTGAAAATAAGAAAATAGCACATTGTTTCGCGAAATCGAACTTTAACATGATGAATAGCGAATTCGTCGGGGGTGGGAACAGAAGAATATGAAGAAGTCAGCACAGTGAACGTTTATTTGAAGTTCCAAAGGAATGGAATATCCATTTTCTCTTGAAGAGCTCAACTCGATGAATATCAGCTAATTTTGCATAGTTCAATTTCCAAGGATTTGACCATTGAGATATCGGATGCGAATTGCCTCTTGAAGCACTAAAAGCCTATCGATTTCTAGAGTTACTTGAGTGGTTATTCTTGCCGATTTGATTCATCTGCACAGTCATGATAAGTCACAATTAGTATTACCCACTTTCGTGAAAATAGAGTCAATATTTATTTATTTATTTCAAATGGCAGGCGTTTGATAGTTATCATTAGCTCTTTAGCTGACTTCGGGCTTGTAGACGGAACATCCAAGTAACAGAAAGTCGAGGGATGGGGAACAGTGAGAGGAGGAGGAACATCAAAGTGAGAAAAAGTCGAGAGGAGGGAAGGAACGTCAAAGTAGCAGAAAGTCGATGGGTGGGGAACAGAAGAGTGATTTACAGATGTAAAAGAGTCAGACACAAAGGCAGAGAAAAGGTAAGTTGAGTACTATGGTTGTAAAAGAGACAGGTACAAATGCAGAGAAAAGGTAAAATGATTACTGTTGAAGTGGTAGAATATGGCATACAGTGGGGTGATGGTAGCTTGAAGTGAGAAGTCGACTGCCGGTTAATAGACTTTTTTGCCGTATGAGTATACGTTGCCCAGGGTGTACCACGTGGAGGTAAGTCCACGTGTCCCGCGTCAATATAAATTTTATGTTATTTTTACTAACACAGGTTGTTGTGTACAAATCCGATGGCATGGAAGTGTCAGAAAATAGTTTCATGGGGGTGAACCATGTTAATGTCATATATTCGGTCCCGTTTATGATATCGAGTTTAACTGCCGCAGTAGTCAGCAAACCTATTTAAGCATCTAATGTTAATTTAAAGCTGTCCTTAAAGATTGCAGAGGGTGGGAGGGGGGGGGGGTGGCGTAAGATTCCATCTCATCCTCCTTGAAGGAGCCCACATCAGGAAATTGAGACTGAGGAGTGTTCTTTGGACCCCATCTAAGTCAAGCCACCTCTTACTTTGCATGTTGTACTTTTAATCTTGACAAAACTGTTTATCACCTGAAAGGTCCCTATTGTTCGTGATTCGACAGATTTTTTAAAATTTTGCCTAGAAGTTTCCTTGCCTCTGTCAGAACCCATTTTCGTCGGAGCTTTCTGTGGAAAATCGATTTTAACACATTTTAGAAGGTTCGGGTTAGTGAAGGCCCAGTTGGAGCGCATGCCTGATTTTGGAGGAAGACAAATTTAACAGACTGTCTGAATATCGTTGATAAGATTCTCCAACACTTTCTTTAACGGATTTTTGAGAAACTAGCTTTGTGAACGCAGATAAGTGGAATTGTACGGCTTTTCAATTCCTCTAGCCTCAACAGTTTCGAAGGCGCCATAGAAATTTTGCGATTCATAGAGAATTACTTTAACAATGCAACCATAATCACGATATTCCATTAGATGCTTAACGCAAACCATTGTGGTACAAGTTATTCAATGTCATGATGCCGGTTGGTTGTTGTCATCCTGTACATAAACTGAATTATTTCAAATGGCGGGTATTGTGATAGTTATCATTAGCTCTTTAGCTGACATCTGGCCCCACAGAAAGGAGAAGGAACATCAAAGTGACAAAAAATCGAGAGGGAGGACGAAATAATGATTCACAGATGTAAAAGAGACAGACAGACACAAGGACATAGAAAAGGTTGGATGAGTACTATGAAAGGGGTCGAAAATGGCAAATAGTCGGGTTATAGAAGTTTGTCGTGGGAAGTCAACTGCAGATTAATAGACTTTTTCCCGTAGCAAGATGAACACAACCACCTTCAACAACCTTGGGGAAAAAATAACTGCTATAAGTCCCTCTTCTCATCCCCCCCCCCGTCTTCAATGATACGAATAGAACAGCACTTTTGCTTCATCTCAAAAGTTTCCGGAGAATTAACTACATTAAATCAACTATTTTTATGTATTAATGAATACAGATTTCATTATTAAATCTCCATTTAAAGCCCAGTTCACCTTTGTCCGTTTGAGTAGTTTGATAGGAAAATTTATCTCAGTTTTAATTCCGTTTTATTAACAATATGATATTGTTGAGCAAATCTTTCAGGCCTGGTATTGGCCAATCCTATAAACAACATCTTCGTTTATTATTTCACCCACTGGGAACCAAAGAGAAGTGTTAATCCAACTGTTTGCTTTATCGCACTCTTTTCTCGTCTCGTATATCTTGCTTCGTGTCCAATGGATCAAATATTTATTTATTTATATCAAATGACAAGGTTTATGTTAGTTATCAAGAGCACCCTAGTTGACTTCGAGCTTCACAGAGAGGAGGATCATCAAAGCCACAAAAAGCTGAAGGAGGGGGGGAGGGGAACAGAAGAGCGGTTCATAGATGTAAAAGAGGCAGACAGACACAAAGAGAGAAGGAAAAGGTAAATTGAAGTGAGGGCTGCGGAAGTGGTCGAGCAAGTCATACAGTCAGATAATGCTAGTTTGAAGTCAACTACTGGTTGATAGGCCCTTTATCATAAGTGTATACGTTGCGAAGGGTGCATCACGTGAGGGCTAAGTCTATCGCTCACCCTATGAACCAAATATTGGTCTCCCGTTTCAGAATAGGCTTAAGTTTCCAGATTGGCTAGAGCATGAGCGTTTGACTAAGCTATTCGAGCTCCTATGAGTATTTCCAGTGTCCATCTCAAACCATGCGCTGTCATATAAAATGAACTTTTTAACCGGAGCTTGTGAAATCAGACAAGAACATCTTTTGACCTACATCCGATCTTTTTCTCTGACATACGAATAAACGCTAGAGTCAAGACTCATAAACATAAATTCCGAACCCTAGTCGAGAATTCTGGTTTTGAAACGTATAGTCTCATTAATGCCAATTCTTCAATTTCCTTCGGCAAGTTCTGGAATGGCTTAAATAACTCGGAATTTTGAAGTTCCCTGTGAGAGAATTTCGAAGCATGCTCATTTTCGTAAAATATTCCCATTGCAATTATTTCGCCACATAATTTCAAAACTGAATGAAACTAGACACTGCGACCAATTGAAATTAATTTCAACAAATGGAATAGTTTCAGACCCTGCCGAACGGAAAAGTCGAGATTTAGCAACGATCGCTATTGAAAATAAGCCACCTGGGGAAAAGAGATGTTTCTCCAGGTTCTATTTGGTGTCTTAGCTGGGTTAAACACCTCAAGGACCACTAGGGCCCCTGAGATAATTGATATTGGCTAAGAGAAACATTTTAATAAATTTAAAGACTCTTGATCGCCATACATTCGAATATTAATTTTGATTTCATTAATCTCAAACACACTTATCAACAGGAGGAAAATGTTCGGGTGCATATTTCGAAGTGAGTAATCTGTAATCGGACAAGTCTAAGTTATTTTGATTTGCCAAACCAGCATATTTGTGCTTAATGTATGGGAATAAGTGAGTGTTTAAATAAAGTCGTACTTTCTGGCACTTAATGGCTCATTGCTTCAAGCAGTTAAGCTAATAATTAAGGGAGTGTCACGCAAGGTAACAAGTGCTTCTAACTACTATTTCTCAATAGCAGTATATAATTAACAGGAAGCAAGTCAATACCGAAAGATTTATCAAAATACCCACAGAACTTAGCTAACAGATTCGGAGACATGATATTGCTGTAGAGAAGGGTAGGAGACAATTATCTTCCAACAAACAAGTTGAACTGGGGCACTTGGAGAATTGAGCTTAAAACGCAAGTAGAAGAGGAACTTATTTCCAATCCAGATATATGTAAGACCACCCATGGAGAAGCCGTCGTTGCAATTATTGGATAAACGAGCAGCCAATCATTTATCACTTTCATTAGGCTTAAATAGGTAAACTTATTTTGTAGTGTAAATAAAGGAATGGTCGTTTGTCTGAGTCACTATACTTTTAATAGAGAACTAGGTGTCTAAAAATTTCAATTACGGATCCACACTGATAGAAAATTTAGTAGAAAATGTTCTTTCAACCTGCCTAGGTTTATAATAAATCTCTCTGTATTGCAACATTCTTATCGCCGAGAGGAATGGCTATCAACACTGAACAACACCATTTCCTCTAATAAATTGGATTATGTATTTGAAATTCTTGACTTCTCAATTATTCTGCCTCTCAAACACAAATGATGAAAAAGGCAGACGTAAGCCTCAAACAACGTATAAATAAAGCCAGCAGGGCATGTAGTAGGTGCTAAATGATTGGCTGCCTATTAAGCCGATAATTGTAGCAATGACGTCTCCACAACCGACCTTACATATGCTGGTGACGGCGAGAGAATCCAATCGAATGGATAATCAAATCCATGAGAAATGAAGATTTTGAGAGTTTTCCTCTTGCGCACTAAAGATATTCAATTTAGTTTCTAATTGACTGAAAAAAACATATCTAGAATGTGTCATGCGCACAGTTACGCTAGAAAAAAAATCAATTATTGAATTGCGTTAGCAACACATTTTGAAGAAATAAATTTCACAATAGTTAAAAGAACTTTACTCTGACATTTGAGTAAGAAGAAGTGAAGAGCCATCTGCCAGGGATTGCAATCTTATTTGCAACAATGTACATCCAGTGTGGGACACGTTATCGCGTTGTGCGTCATCGTATGCCGGCATGTCTGCTCGCCAGGATTGGGAGGTGTACAGCGACCGTACAAACAGTGACCAATCATTAACCTCTGTTTAACCTAATCCCCCATCCTGATCATGAGTAGCTCCCTGCGTGTACACTTGATCCGCAATAAACGTCCTGAACAAACGTGCTCCGTGCTTCACGTCTGTTTCCTTTATAGCTGGGCTATAGCTTAGCTGGTTCTGGGAGTCTAGCTAGATGTAGGAGGAACTGCCATAGAGATTGCTGTGTCAATCAGTCTTTAATAAAGTAGCAATCCGCTACATCAGCAGCTTTTTTTCCCAGCCGAAGCAAATTGAGAAGTAAGCATGATTTTCCAATGGGTGAAATTAGATGCAAGCGTGACGAAAGGAAAATTGAAATCTAGCGTTTCAACGACTTAATAGGAGAGAAATAGAGTGAATCAAACTGAAGTGAGACCAGCCTTGAAGTGCAAAGGTTTCCAGAGGCAATAAATGGGGCGGAACGGTTAATAGATTACTTATAATTAATTCAATTTTAAATCATGTAATGGCTTAGAAAAGTACCAAACAATATTAGAAGCCCATAGTGGGATGAAATGGGGCGATATTTGATTTGAAATTGATAATAAAATAAGTCATTAATCAGGGGACAAAAACATTGCGCGTTTCATCTGTCATAAGTTGGTGTCAAATGCAACAAACAATAAGTTCTAAATCTAGTGGCTATAATTCCACCCATGGAATTGGGATGAAATATAGGTGGCTTGAATTATTGGAGGATTATATTTATGAGAAGATTGACATATTAATGCTTCCATAATCCGAACAAGATGACTCTTGATGCCATGACTTCATATCTACCACCCTCCCCCCCCCTCTCCACCAATCCGATCCCACCTCTTTTCACACCCATTTTTAGACTCCGTTGTTTCCACTATTTTTTTAAATTCCCTTCCATGATAAAAATTTGAAAAACGCTTTGTGCCATCACTTGTAATTGGAAAATAGAAACTAAAGATTGAGATCCAAACTTTAAAGTTATACTTTCTAATGTGATTTCATGCAAGTTATACTCAACAGTTTTTATTAAGTGATTGCGTAGACCACCGTAGTTAATTTACGTATTTTAACTAATTAGAGGAAAGGTAGAGGTTCGATAAGTATTGTCCATAGGTTGGTGAGTTCAAAATCCCTCCACTTTGGTTAATCCAAACCAAATCGTGAGTTTAGGCAATTTGATTTCCTGATGGAGGTGACTTTTCTGTCTACAATTATAGTTAATGTGAAATCACTATCAAAACGCCTGCCATTTGAAATAAATAAATTTCCCGATGGAGGCTGGGGTGTGCGATAGACTTACCTCCATGTGGTGCACCCTGGGCAACGTATACTCATACGACAAAAAGGTCTACTAACTGGCAGTTGACTTCTCACTTCAAACTACCATCACCCCTACTGTAAGTCATATTCGACCACTTCCACAGTTCTCAATTCACATTTTTTCTACCTTTGTCTCTGTCTGTCTCTTTTATGCCTGCAAGTCGCTCTTCTGTTTCACCTCTCAAGTTTTTCTTACTTTGATGTTCCTTCCCCTCTGTGAAGCCCATAGTCTGCTAATGGGTTAATGTTAATTATCAAAACACGTGTCATTTGTGATAAATAAATTTCCTAATGGAAATGACTTTTCTGTCTACTATTATAGTTAATTTAAAATCACCATTTCATGAATTAAAGGTGCTTGGAATTTTATTAGGTTGACAACTAAGTCATTGCCGATTTCAAATAAGAAGGCAAATTCGGAATTTTTGTTTAAAAATATAACTTTATTCAATTAGATATTGGCCGTTCTTGTCGATGACATTTTTCCATCGTTCTGGCAGAGTAAAAATTCCCCGTTCGTAAAATGTCTGGTCTTTGCTATTAAAAAACTGAATTAGGTGTGATCCGACATCATCCGCGTTGTTATAAATTTTACCATTTAAAGAGTTTTGCATGGAACGAAACAAATGGTAATCCGAAGACGCAAGGTCAGGGCTATATGGTGGGTGTGACAAAACATCCCAACCCAGTTCCAATCATTTTTGCCGAGTAACCAAAGATGTGTGGGGTCTTGCGTTATCATGATGGAAAACAACACCCTTCCGGTTTGATAATGCCGGCCGCTTATCTTCAATTGCATCCTTCTTTCAGTTTTTCGAGTTCTTCAACATACACATTTGAATTTATCGTTTGGTTCTGCGCCTCAATAGTTCAAAATACAAAATTCCTTTGTGATCCCACCAGACTGACAGCATAATCTTTTTTTGGTGAATCTCTGCTTTTGATACTGTTTGGGCTGGTTGATCTTGCTTCACCCATGATCTCTTGCGAGTAACATTGTTATAAACTATCCACTTTTCGTCGCCGGTAACTAGGTTCTTCAGGAATGGATCATTCTCATTGCGTTTCAGTAGCGGCGAATCATAGATGCTAATCTGTTGCGTCAAATGAATTTCCTTTAACTGGTGAGGGATCCATAAATCAAGTTTGTTGACATAACCAAGGGTTTTTAATTTTTTTTCAATGCATGTGTGCGACAGATTGAGCTTCTCTGCAATATCTCGTGTTGTGCTGTGACGATTTGAATCGATAATGGCCTTGATATGGGTTTCATCCACTTCGACTCGGCACCGTTAAAAGTTCAATCAGAATGACCTCTAACTCATTTGCAACAAAACAAGAGTTCAATAGAACAAACGATGCAAAATTAGATCCCGATTTGAGGGAAACTGAAATAAACTCTCAACGTCATTGGACACACGTGCACTTCTTTTCATTAAGAGGTGATAATAATTTGCACTCGGTAATTTGTTTTTGAGAGATGCGAGTTAATGACATTCGACTCCAAACTACCCTCAGTAATTCGTTTTCGACTGCGGCATGGTGAAGTAAGCGATCCAGATCATGGCTCTCTCCGACACCCAATAACTTTAGCTGGTTTTTAATTGCCAAATTTTGAGGATAAAATTGTCACCTTAGATGGTACGGTATATTCACAGATGCACCCAGATGTATCTCTGAAGACAGGAGTAGTGCTCTCATTCAATCAATCCATCATCGTTATTACGCCTTCTATTAGACCAATTGGAAAACAAACAAAACATTGAAAAATAAAAATATGCGTTCCTCTCGAAAAGCAAAAATATAAAAGATTTGCACCTATGACCTTCCATTGGCTGACGATAATTTGCCTATAATTAGATTCATGTCAGTAAAACAAGACAAGGTATTTTAAACTTACGTTTGTCCTGAGAGATATGTATTTGTAAGAACTTCAATTGGATTGATTCATTTATTCACTCTTGGGTCGTCCTGCTTATCTCTCTGACCTACTGGTCTTTACGCTAACTTCCTTTTACCCAACTTAAACTCTTTAATTTTTGTTTCATTTCAACTCACCATCCACATTTATCGAAAAACACGCAATATTCATTACATTTTAAACGAAACTTTCAGTATATCGAGTGCGTGTCAAAGCATTAGGAATTCTATACCATTCGAATATTAGTGTTCGAGACCAAGGGTGTACATATAATCAATACAAAAATATCTTTTATGAAGAGTTCGAGGACGAGGTTTCAATAATACACGCTGAAACCGTATTTACAAGCTTCCGAATTATCCGCGAAACTTACAATTTTGTGGCTCCGAAACCCGGCTGAATTTACATTGACGTGGAAATACATTCGACCTTGAAATGTACCATATCTACTTAGAACTAAAACTGCCAATTAAATCACTCCATCCCACCCNCCCCCCCCCCCCCCCCCCCCCCCCCACCCGCCCATAAATGTTATTTTGAGAATGTTGAAAAATAAGTAGAAAATGTATTAATTGATCAGAATTGGATTGAAAGGTACACATTTGTTTAAATTCTGTCCAAACTCATAGCATGAATCAGTTGGATCAAGTTTGTTGAAAGGTCATAAATAGATGTCTCTAATGGATCCCCCCTTCATTTCACCTCACACGTTGTCGTCAAAGACTTCTATTGAGAAAAAAATCAATAAATAATTTAAATTCATTTAATATATAATAATTCAAACAAAGCACAAACCTGCTTCTCCTGTAAGATTTTGAATGAAGTAGCTTAAAAAGTCAAAGATAAAGATGTACTGAACCTAAAATGAAGAGGGAATAAAATTCAACTTTAATCAATGCATTAATTTCATTAAAT